GACCCGTTTGAGTGGCCGAGCCCCGCCTGCCGGTCACCTGAGGTCGTGGCATGGCGTGGCGCTGGACCGACTTTGCCTACGCGCCACACTACACCACGCCTGGCCAGCAGACGGGACCCGTTGACACGATCGAGTCTCGGCGAGTGGGAGTGAGCGAGCCGGACCGAGAGCGGACGGGACGGGACGGGACGGGTGACAGAGCCGAGCGGGACGGAACGGGCTGGGTTTGGGAGCCGATGCCGACCTCTGACTCAAACTTAAAAGGCTTCAAAGGCAGCATCGTAGAAGACAAAAGGGGGGGTAGAGACCGTAGATGAAGCAATAGTAGAGACAGTTAAAGAAGAAGGGGTGGAAGAGGAAATTGTGGTAGAGGGGGTGACAGAAAAAGGGGTGGAAGATGAAATGATGGTAGAGGCTGGGTTGAAAGGGGTAGAAGAGGAAATGGTGGAAGCGCCGGGGTTGAAAGGGGTAGAAGAGGAAATGGTGGAAGCGCCGGGGTTGAAAGAAGTGGAAGAGGGGATAATGTTTGAGGGGGAAGGGGTGGGAAATGATTTAGGAGGAGCCAGTTGAGCGGGAGGGTGTGGTACAGCGAATGTGTCAGTGCTTTGGCCACGACTCCTTTTCCTGCTAGTGCGGCAGCGGCTGGTTGGATGGTTGGAGCGAGAGCGGCTCCTGGAGTGGCTGTGGCGCGGGTACCTGGAGCTGGAGCGGCTCCTGGAGTGGCTACGGCGCGTGTACCTGGAGCTAGAGCGGGAGGGGCTTCTGGAGCAAGGTTATACAGTAGGTTGTGGCAGTAGACCCCTCGCGATCTGATTGGTCGCCGAATCGTGACGTCACCATTTGTCCTCCCGCCCGTAGTTCAAATTACGGGTCGTGTGCCCGTCTCAATATTATGTGTTTTAACAAACAGAGGATAAAAATATCCACGGTATTTTGTTTTAGCACCCCTCAGCATCCATAAAAGACGATACATTTACTCAGATGCCGAGCAGGTTGAAAGATGCGGACGGATTACGAGCGCCCATAACCTCACATCCAAGATGGCCGCTGCTCGGCCGCTCAGCTGATCGTACGGGAGTGAGGTGAGGACTGTTTGTAATCCGTCCGCATCTTTCAACCTGCTCGGCATCTGAGTAAAAGTATCGTCATTTATCGATGCTGAGGGGTGCTAAAACAAAATACCGTGGATATTTTTATCCTGTGTTTGTTAAAACACATAATATTGAGACGGGCACTCGACCCGTAATTTGAACTGCGGGCGGGAGAACAAATGGTGACGTCACGATTCGGCGACCAATCAGATCGCGAGGGGTCTACTGCCACAACCTACTGTATAACCTTGCTCCTGGAGTGGCGGCGGCGCGGGTACCTAGAGCTGGAGCGGGAGGGGCTCCTGCCTCCCCTGTCCAAGTAGCTGGTGTGGCTGGGGCTGCGACGCAAGTACTTGGAGCTCGAGCGGGAGGGGCTCCTAACTCCCCTGTCCGAGTAGCTGGAGTGGCTGGGGCTGCGACGCAAGTTCCTGGAGCTGCAGCTGGAGGGGCTCCTGCCACCTCCGCCCCTGTTTGAGTAACTAGGGCAGTGGGGGCTGGTGCTTCGGCGCTCACAACGATTGGAGATTGACGTGGCGCACCCACTGCTGTTGTACAACTACAACGAGACCGACCCAAGCCGTTTAGGGACGGACCGTGTAGCCGTTAGGGTTGCAGCCCAGTTCTGGTCTGGGGGACCTTAGGGTCAAAAGGGGGTTCAAGGAATGAGAGCCTCAGGTTACCCGTGTACAATACCGATGTCTCCCTGGTGCTCCTCACGACTCCCGTGCCCCCTGGACGACGCACACCGACTGCCGAGTCGGGCTCGCGCTAAGCGCGGCCCTCCGTTCAGAGTGCACATCAGCACTTTTAGCCCCTGGGGGGCGGGGGCCTCCGCCACCCGTGTAACATCCCCCCGAAAAAGAAGCGGGCGACCACGCACGCAAACCCCAAATAGAAAGAAAAAAAAGAGAAAAAAAAATACTTACTCTAAGCTTGCGCTAACGTGGGAGCAGATGATATAGCTTTAATTTTCAGTTAGTGTGCATTAAAGTAGGTTACAATGCCATACGTAGGCCTTGCCCAGAGTGGCAGAGCTTAGCAAAACATGGTGGTCAGGGGAACCATAACAAAGCAAAAAGCGGTTCGCTAAAAGGGGACAAAACTAGATTCAATACACGGAAAAAAATAATTTTGTTGTTGCAGCGAAACATTAGCTATGGCAACGATTATTTCCCTGGCAGCGGCTTAGCGAACATTATTGCATGGCCTAGCTAACTCAATAGTTTTGTTAGCTAAACTTCATAGTTTTGGGAACTAACAGTCAGCTAACAGCACGTTTTACAATGGCAAGTGATTCCGCTATGAGGGAGTTGGACGAATGTCCAAGTCCCACACTTTACAACCAATTAGTGGAACTCCCACTGTCCAAAGTCATGGTTTTCAACAGAAAGAGACCTGTGATCTGCACAGCATAACCGTTGAAGCCTATTTGAAGAAAAGCCCAGATTATAACACATACAGAGACATCTGGGAGAGCCTCAGCGATGAAGAAAAGAATCTCGTAACTTCCTTGAAAAGATTGGAGATACTGGAAAGAAGAGGAGTAAAGTAATAATTATTTTCACTCCACACACGCAACGTGTCGTAGATCTTTTAATTAAACACAGATCTGTGTGCTCTGTTCCGGCATCCAATGTATGTATACCTCGTTGCCAAAGTAGGGCATGAGACTCGCCGGAGGGGGGGGGGGGCGATTCCCTGCGTGACTGTGTGGAGAGGGCTGGATGTTTAGAACCTAAAAGAGTAACTGCAACTTGCCTAAGAAAGGCGGCAGCAACTTTAGCAAAAGTTGCTGGTCTCTCAGAAATTCAAGTGAAAGAATTTGCCGAGTTCTTAGGGCACACTCTCTCCGTGCTCATCAAGAAGTCTTTCGCCTTCCACAGTCAACATTACAAACCGCTAAGGTCAGCAAATACCTTATGGGTATTTATAACAGTAAGCCAGAGAGGCAAGAAGAGAGTGACTCATCAGATGAAGATGATGACCATGTCCCAGCCAACGCTCAGAATAATGTGATTGATCCCAGTGAACCAGGTAGCAGCACTGGAGATAGGCCTGCTTCAAAGAGAAAGATAGAGCAGGATTCTAATGACTCTGATAGGCCTGCTTCCAAAAAGAGTAAGAAAACCCAGGCTTCTAATGACTCAGATTCGGAGTCTGAGTATTATACTCCTAAAAAGAAGAAAACTCAGAAAAAAAATGCAGGCTTCTAATGACTCAGATTCGGAGTCTTAGTATTTTACTCCTAAGCAGAAGAGAAGTCAGAAAAAAAAATGCAGGCTGCTAATGACTCAGATTCGGAGTCTGAGTATTTTAACCCTAAGAGGAAGAGAACTCAGAAAAAAATTGCGTGGAAAACTCCACAAATGAAAGCAATAGAAAAACACTTCAGTGATGACATCCGTCTTTGCAAATTGCCTAGAAAGAGTGCATGTGAGAAGGCAATGAAGGAAAGTCCCCTGCGCACTCATCCATGGATGCAGATCAGAGACAAAGTTCGCAATGAAGGCATAAGAAGAAAGAGATTGGCACAGCCAAAATGTCTTTCTAATAATGAAGGTAGGTCTAAGAAAAAGAAATCTCTGTACTCTGACTATATTGAATACTCACAAGAGAGGTGGCACACACCAATTTCGCTGGGCGCGATACATTTTGCAGGGGACATATATGTAGATTTAGATTGGCACCAGTTTTAGCTACCCATACGATGTTTTTCGTTTTTTTCGACAATTTTTAGCAAGAAAACATCATAAGAGCAGCAACAATGTGATCTTCAAATGCCTATATCTCCGGAACCGTTTGAGCTACACCGCCCAGATTTTGCACAGAGGTAGTCCGCATAGATACCTTAATCGTCTAAGAATATGAGAAGAGTCGAAAAAAATGTTGAAATGGTCCGAAATCCAAGTCGAAATCCAAGTAAGGAAGGTGCACATAGTTTGTGACATTTTCTTCGATGTTTTTCTAAAAAAATTATGCTTCACGATAATGTAGTTACCGATTCGGCCTACCTCTGTGCAAAATCTGGGCGGTGTAGCTCAAACGGGTGTCTCGTCGATTTCCTAAATTATGAAAATTGAGCTATGCGCCACTGCTCCAAAGTTTAGGAATTGTTTGAATTTAGTAAAAAATCATAACTCCCTCAAACATTGACCGGTTTTCGCCGTTCACAGCTCAAAACACTTGTACTGCTTAAGGGGGCAAAATCATTTAAAAAATTCACTTTTTTTATCGCTTTAAAAAATTCTTTGATCTTTCCTCTTTCTAATGCCGAAAAGCGGATGTCGAAATTCGAAAAATTGCTCTCAGGAGAGCCAAAAACGTGCTGCAGGCGGCCGGGTGGCTGGACCGCTAGGGCTCGCCTAGCCGCTCAGGACAGGACACACGACGAGGAAGGAGTGTTCCAGAGCCCCGGTATCTATTAGGACCAGTAAAGAAAGTTGCCTCGGCTTTTAGTTCGTCGTTGCACATCGGTAGTGAAAACTTTCAACGCGTTTTTCTCCCACTTCTGTTTTGCGTTGCAGCCTCCAGGCCACAGTTCTTGAGCTACAGCCTAGCCACTTCGCCTAGTTGTAGCCTATATATGTACCTTTCGTTTGACGAGAGCGATTCTTGATATCTCATTTCTAAAGTACCGAAATAGGAGATAAAGTACCCAATTTTTACCCAAATTCAAGTTACCCAAACTTTGGGAATTTTTTTCACACACTTACAAATAAAAATTTCGAAATCGCTCTCGTCAAACGAAAGCTACATCTTTTAAGAGTAAATGAGTATTTTTGTCGATGCCGTAGATCCATCCGTTGCCGCGCAATCCTGCACACGGTAAAGGCCCGTAACCCTCCACTTCCGGACAAAGGAGGGCATGTCCCCAGCGAGGAGTCCGCAAGTACGGTCTGCCGGTGTACACATGTGGTGGGCTTCCTAGTTTTCCTAGGTTTTCCTAATGTTTTCCCGGTCTTCCCAACTTTTTATTGGTTTTCCCAATATCTTGGTTTTCTGATATTTTATGAAGGCTTCCTCCAGTTTTCTCGCATTTTTATCGGTCTTCCCTCACATTTTCTGGTCTTCCTTGCAATTTCTAGGTCTTTCCTAAAGTTTTTCCGGTCTTCCCTTATATTTTTCGGTTTTTCGTCACATTTGTGGCTTTCGATTTTATTGGTCTTCTTCGATTTTTTTAAATCTTCCTAGTGGTCTTCCCGGTCTTCCCAGTTTACCGGGCGGCCAGTGTACGCGCCCGAACCTAGTTGCGGACCCCTCGGTTCCCAGGGCAGCAAGCAGACGTTCTATACATCAAAACGTAGCTTAATCCTTGCTCTTTCTAAATATTGTTCGTTGAAAGCGCTACGATTCTTCGTTTTCTTGTAGTTACTATTTTCCCAAACCCTTGCATTTCACAGGTCTTCCCCCTTAACACAATCAAAATACGCCCACGATAGGCTGCTAGGGTGGCTCTACAGTCTCCCAGAAGGCGAAAAAGGCGGTAAACACACTGAAATTGTCCGTTTTTTGACGTTTTGAAATTACTCTATAGACATGCAGGAAACACGACCTGGCCAGATGCATGCCCTTCCATCCCGGATGGCCAAGTATAGCAGGTCAAAACGTCAAAAACGGACAATTTCAGTGTGTTTACCGCCTTTTCCGCCTTCTGGGAGACTGTAGAGCCTCCCTAGCAGCCTATTGCGGGCGTATCTTGATTGTGTAAAGCAGTACAAGTGTTTCAAACTGTAAATGGCGAAAATCGGTCGATGTTTGAGGGAGTTATGATTTTTTTACTAAATTCAAACAGCTCCAAAACTTTGGAGCAGAGGCGCATAGCTCAATTTTCATAATTTAGGAAATCGCCGAGACAAGCATTTCTTTATTTTAAATAACCCAGCCGAAAATTTCGGTTACGGTTACGGCCAGAATTTACGATTACGGCCGTAATTTGCTACGGTTACGGTCAAAATTTACGATTACGGCCGTAATTTGCTCCGGTTACGGTTAAAATTTACGATTACGATCATAACCGGAGTTCGATTACGGTTTACACTTACGGTTACGAGTAAGCTTACGAATGCGACCGTAACCGTAGCCCGGTTACGGTCAGCAGTTACGGTTACGAGTAATGTTAAACGATTACGATCGTAACCGGAAAATATCAAACTTTGAAACGTCGTAGCGCTTAAACTAAGCTTTGCAGGGAGAAACGGTTAAGGGTAACGTAAGGGAAACACAAGTCAAACCTTTGTGCGGAGTTTGGAAAGAGTCGACTTTTCAACCCCTGGCTACCTTGAGAACTGTTAGAGATACCGCAACGAAAACACCACCATTGTGCTCGGCGTCAAAAGTTTTCACGGGCGACATGTGCTCTGCATGGTCTCATGGGGGCTTTGAGTTACTGCCAATACGTCATCACCGTAACCGGAACGTTCTCACCGTAACCGGGCTGACTAACCGTAATCGTATCCGAAACAGTAAACGTAATCGTAACCGGAACTTCAACCGCAACCGTAACCGGAAATGGGTCCAATTTACGAGTGTAACCGTAACCGTAGTCGTAACCGTAACCGGAATTTTCTGCTGGGAAGGAATCGATGTAGGGGTAGTGCGGAATTATTTTCGAAACCGTAGTGAAAAGTGAGACGCTCTAACGCATCAGGCACCGGCGAGTGCGAGAGAGACGGGAGCGGCCGGGAGACCGTCGGTACTCCCGGCTCGAGAGGCTTTGGCGATATCTACCTACCCTACCTCACACCACATTTCATAAATGAGCCTCTAGCCGGCCAGAGGCTCGCCCGACACAGGGCTCTGCTAGGCCCGGTATCTGCGCTACGGAGTTGCCTTTGGCGAAGTCAAGCTCGCAACTTCGTTTGGCGGGAAGGCGGGCCTACAAATGTTGGGCTGGCCAACATAATTCATGTGCTGGTTGTGTGACGGATTATTACAGATTTACTCCTGATTGCGCCATGCTCTTAACTCCTAGAGCTGTAAATAAAACCGTTTTAAAAATGGCTTCTTGTTAGCCACTACTCCAAAAATTGCTTCTGTTGCAAATTTAACGAAATTCTTTATTTGATTATTTGTGATACTTTATTATCCATTGGTTCTGGTTTTATGATGGTACCCTACAGAGCCAGTCTTTGATTTAACTATAAAAAAAATTTATGGTAGATTTCCTATAAATGTGTCTGCAGCTTTTTACATATACATGTATAGGAATTTTCCTAGACATCGGTCATGCAATATGGCTAAAATGTTTTTTAACCTCTTTCCCGCCCTTTTCTCTGAAGATGTGCATATCCTTACCCAATTAAAAAAAAACTGAACATAGTATAGGAAAATTGTCATCATCTAGTAAATTTCCTACACATGTAAAGGAAAATATGCCTACCAGACAGGTATCGGAATTTCCCCACACAGTTCTGGTGATTTTTCTAGACACTTCGTACTTTTCCCATACACATCTCTCCACATAGGAAATTTCCTATAAATTAATAGGAGTTTTCACTTCCTATACGATATATAGGATATTTCCTATACATGCGTGTGGCAGTATTCCCAACATTTTTTACACTGTCCCAAAACCCTGAATTCCAGCGCTAGTAAGCCCACCTGTAACATAATATTTCCCCTCTCAAAAACACATACCACGTAGCAATGTTTCGAGAGATATTGCAAAGGCCGTTACGCGGTATGTGGTAAAACTTGCAGCTCTCGTTTATGTTTTACTTCCAGTTTTATGAACGGGAACCCGTTGTGGCTCAATAAACATATTCATACAGAGGGCGAGTTCATTCCTGCCGCTCCACAGCTGGATTTCGGTGTCCCAGATGAACTTGTCGATGAAACCTAGACCCATTGAGTCTGCGAGTCTCAAATCCAATGAACAATTGGTGCAATCGTGAAGGGTCTAATGAAAAGAGATTACAATGATCAGTTCAATCCAGGAACGACTGCATAATGCAGGGGTCCCTAACAAAAGGTAGTTACTTAAGTTACGTAACGAGTAACAGTATTTTAGTAGTATCTGCCGTTACGTTACCGGTAACGTAGATTCACTTCCTGAAATGTTCTGTAACTGCAATATGTAACGCAATTCGATACCCCCTATGTAAAACCGCTCACGGCCTCACCGGCTGCGGACAAACGCTCAGCTCACTCCCCGCCTGCAGACAACCGCTTAGGAAGCGGAGCTTGGCGTTCCGGATAACCGCGTAAGTCGCTTTATAACCGAAAACATAATATTGGTATCACTCGAAAGAGAATTTCCGCCTCTATCGAATGACACACTGCTAAAAAAGTTGTGAAATTCACATCAGAATCAGTTGTAAAATTGCAAACGTGGTTGGGAAATTTCATTGTCAATTTTGCCATTAGTTGGCTGAGCGATTAGCGAAGCCCATAACTCCACTGACCGGAAAAGTTTCAGTTTCACTCTGTTTGTTTGTCTGTTTGTCTGTCTGTCCGCACGATAACTCGAGTAAGAATTGAGATAGCGACCTGGGATTTTCAGGGTCGTTTTGCATCATAAAAAGACAGATCGAGTTCGAAGATGAACATTCTAGCTCAAAAATTGGCTTTTAAAAAAATCAAAAACTACAGGTTGCAATATGTAATTTTATCAAATATTTTTTTATGGGTTCCTAAAGGGTAACTCGTCAAAGTAGATCTCTTTGGACGCAAATTTCGTCCGTTTGGCTCTATCTTGTACCGTTTAGGTGCTAGGGGGCATTTCTTGGCAAAAATGAGGTGAAAATGATCAAATGGTCGATTAAATCGTTAAAAAGACTTCATTTCGAAAAATTGTATATACATTCCTATAGACCATTTCACCCCAGCGCTTTTCGACCTCTCGAAGAACAAAAATACCGGAAGTCGTGCAGTATATGGAACGTTCCTAGCCGTTAAACACGTTAGATTGAAGCGGTGTGTGCCGTAATAATATATTTTTGACTAAATTTAGGACTGAGAAGAGTAGATTATCGGTTGCATTGACGACAAAACCTCTATTTCGTGAGACACTTTACCCTGACTTCCGGTATTTTTGTTCTTCGAGAGGTCGAAAAGCGCTCGGGTGAAATGGTCTATTACCCCGTCTTGGGTGTCAGCGCCGCAGGCCTAGCTATATGTGCGCCAGGCGCGTCGCAGCGTAACAGTGTTTCGTGAGATAACGCGAAGCCTGTTACGCGAGACGTGGTCTGGTGTACATATAGCTAGTTAGTATTTAACTCAACTGACATGTATTTTTGCGCAGTATGATCTGTAACACAATGCTGTAGCTGGCTACGCATTTGTTTATAAGCAGAAAGTCACGTAAGTACCCCAAATAATTGGTCTAATTCCAGCGCGTGCCGGTACCCGCTCCCTCTCTTTAGCTAAGTGAGGTGCCGTTCGCACCCGTTCGATAGGGGACGCCCGTGACGCGCTCCCGCATTTTTGATGTGTCTTTACCCTCAGAGGTAACAACTGTTACCCCATCAGCCCAACCAGCTGATGCCTAAATCGTTTGAGGTTCACCTACTCCATGTTCATGGCAAATTTCTTATACCTTATAAACCTTCATGTTTTGAAAATTCACAGTACGGGTTTTTTTTTCAGATCGCAGATTCTAAAATTTCAAAACATGAACGTTTGCAAATTTTTTTACATTTGTTTTAGTTTGTAATTTTACAAACATTGAATTGCGTAAAAAGTTGGCTACAATATTTGTAAAATCACTATCGATTTTTTAACAGTGTACCAATATTACGCTTTCGGTGAAAAAGCGACTTAAGCGGTTATCCGGAGCGCCAAGCTAGGTAAGCGGTTGTCCGCAGACGGGGTGTGAGCTGAGCGTTTTCTCAGAGCCACCGAGGCAGTGAGTGATTTTACAGGGGGTGTCGAATTGAAAGTGACATAATTTTGCAGTTTTCACCTGGTCGAAGGGCAGGTGCTTGTCTATTTAATTTACTTCCACAAATATCTTGACGGTAATCTTGTGGTTGCGAAGGAGTCACCTCTGTTCCAGTGCTTTACGGGCACTGTAGTAACAACTCTATATTCCCCTACTCCACTGCAACTGCGAAGCGGCGAGTAGTGGGGGAACTGCGCACCGAGCGCTGCCCGCTGGCTGCCTAGCGCCGAGCGCGCCGCTTCAAACGGAGGGCCACGCGGCGGAGAGCGAACGGACGACGTTTCGCTCGATTTCCCTGCACTGTAAGTTTCTTACAAAGAACAGCTCTTCGTAACGTACAAAGGATTTGACACCTTTGAAATACAATCAAATCCTTTGTATTACGAATGGTTTGGCTTTGTATTACGAAGAGCACGTGTATGTTAAGAAACTGGCGCTCTTTGTAATACGAAGAAAATCCGTTTGTAATATGGTGGTTCCAGATCCTTTGTACGTTACAAACCCAATTCTTCATAATATGAAGACCACTCTTTGTAAGGAACTAAGAGTATGTGTTCACGTCGCCGCTTCCTGGCATACTCTACGGTTTTAGATACAGTAGGGCACGGCCTCCGTATCCGCGAAGAGGAAACCATTGAATTCGACGTCTTCGTTTGTCGGGATCGAGTCGCGTCCTTCGCCATAATTAAGGTGGTGTGGGGGCAGTGACTGGGGAAATGTATCGTGCGGGTTGATAAATAGGGCCTATTAGGTAACACTTCTAGCCGGGGTAACTCTCTGACCTGCCATCTAACCCTACTTTAGTGGCTTTCAAGATGTCTGCCTCCTGCGCGGAAAATCGCAGTCCGCAACGAAAATCGCGATCCGATTCGGGTAAACGTTGTCGCACAGCGTTCAAACTTTGCATAGAAGGTATAAACAACCATTTGAAGGTGTCTGCCTCCTGCGCGGCAAATCGCAGTCCACAACGAAAATCGCGATCCGATTCGGGTAAACGTTGTCGCACAGCGTTCAAACTTTGCATAGTTACTGTAGAAGGTATAAACTACCATTTGAAGGTCAAACCTCCGAAATCGGTGACTTGCGTATTTAAAATGGAATGCCCTACTATAGGGGCTGATCCGAAACAGGTTCAGTTACCTTTCATAATGCATTTTTGTGCGCAAATGTGTCCGAAAGTAAACGTAGGGGTTAAGGGTACGCGGGAGACAAATTGGGATTGCACTAGGACTCCGACTTCAGGAGTATCGCCTAAACTGTCAAGAGCTGTCCAGCGCGTCGCCATTGTGTCACAGACCGTCCAGCGTGCTCGACCTCCTCTCCCCGCCACCTCGGCTGGCCGCCCGCCCGCCCGAGTGTGAGAGAGAAGGATGCTCGCTGCGGGAGGAGACAATGTCACTCATACAATGCACCTCCGCTCGCTCGGTGCACCTGGCATAAATCTGTTACAGCCGGCCGCCTCGCCAACCTCGCCCGCCTGGCCCGCTCCTGCCAAAACGCGGGGTAGAGCGGTTTGATGGCCATTTTCGGCCGTTTTCGTTCTATGATTACCCCTAAACTAAATTTCCAATCAACACGCGGTTGATTCGAGAGCATTCTTTGAACTTTCCTTTACTTCCTGACGTTTTGATTTTTCAAATTAGTCCATTCGGAAGCTGCCCAGGTCTGTTTAAAAAGGTGGAAGAAAATGGCATATTTTGAGCTCAAATATTGGTCTAATGACGAACGGTGTCCAAAATATCTCGGACGTGAGGAAGTAGATTTCAGTGAAAACTATCGGCCGGATAAAACCGCATGCCAGTATCACTCATAACTTGGCCGCAATTTTGGAACGAAATTGACAAAATTCCATATTTTGAGCTCAAATATTGGTCCAATGGCGAAAGAAGTCCAAAATTTCTCGACGTAAGGAAGTAGATTTCAGTAAGAACTATCATCCAGAAAAAACCGCATGTCAGTGTCGCTCAAGGTTTGGCGGCAATCTTGGAACGAAATTAACGCTATGCGACGATTTGTCTCCCGCGTACCCTTAAACATAACACGAACGTTTGCACCAAAACATAAAATTATCTCAGGCGTGCACACCGACTAAACTCGGAATCCGATTTTTAAAGAGACAAGTGTCACATGGCCACCAATGGGAGCATTACTGCCTAAGGGACTTGCCTAAGGGAGCATTACTTACGCCAGGTACTGGACACTTAAAGCTAGGCTTAATGCACTCGACCCATGGCGTCCAAATCATGTTCTTGGTGAGAAGCAAACTGCATATGGCGGTGGACCAGGTCCAACGTGCATAGTACTCGCACAGGTTGGAAGCCACGCCACCAGTACAACGGTTAATATTGACAACGATCTGCCAAAGATGTAAGGTACAGCCGCATGTTAGACAACTTAGGGGAAAATAGGGAAATTAGTTGATATTTTATCGCATTAAAAATGCCCCTGAAGGCCAACCCACATGTTTTCCCCTTCACTCTTCCCAGCTGTGAGCCAGATCCGCCCCTACATTTAATATTCTAATTTTGCAAAATTCTTATAT